TCGAGGGCCCACAGTGTTTGTGATGCTGCACCCCTCGAGGGCCCACAGTGTTTTTGATGCCGCACCCCTCGAGGGCCCACAGTGTTTTTGATGCCGCACCCCTTCGAGGGCCCACAGTGTTTTTGATGCCGCAGACCTGCATACAGAGCAAGCTGCGGCGCTGGGCGCTGCTGCGGGTGGCTGCCCTTCGCGGTCAGCTTGTTCTTGCCTATAGAGAGCAAGTTGAGGGAGGTGTGAAGAGAATTTCCCCCACGGGGATCAATTAAGTATCTACTATTAATATTAATTGACACTTTACAGACAGGTGTGGTGCAAAGCACACCAGGAACTGGGTAATTAGTCCTGCTGACCAGCGTCAGATTTGTCAGCCGCTCGAGGACGGGGAGTGGGATGATAACAAATGAAGATGTTCCCCTCGGGGACTCGCTGCAGTGATCACCACTCAAACCAGCCCGTACTGCTGAAGCAACGTTGATTCCGTCAGTTTAGTTTGAAGTACCTTTAGGAGGGATGGATTCACTGTAGTCTACACAGCACTCTTCCGGTCACACCTAGTCATTTATGTCGTCCACGTTTGATGTAATTAACATATTCCAGATTCATTCCAGGTGTTCTTTGTTTTTTTCCCCAGGATCTTAAAAACACATCAGATGTAAACCTCCGCATTGTGCGCTGTCCCCCTGTCACCATGGCAATAATCCGACGGCCCGATCCCAAATACCAGCTGGGTTTCAGTGTAGAAGATGGCATTGTGAGTGACTGGACATGTGCGCCTTTAAACTGGCGCTGTACCTGAAAACGTGCAGCTTTGTTTCCCCGTAAGATGTTAAAATGCTTTAATGTAAAATGCTGTTAATGTTTCTGTTGATCGGTTCACAACTTTCTTTTGGAGCAGATATGCAGTTTAATGAGGGGAGGCATCGCAGAGAGGGGGGGCATCCGTGTCGGGCACCGAATCATCGAGATCAATGGGCAGAGTGTGGTGGCCACTCCCCATGAGAAAATCATTGACATTCTCTCACATGCTGTTGGGGAGGTATGTTATGTTTCTATACACCTTCAGGCTTTGATATTGCAGCCATGTGCTTTTGTGTTTGTGTGCGTATGTTTACCTATAAAAAAAAAATGTAACAAATGTTGCATATATCAATATAAAGTGAAAAAATATTTTGCCCCTCTCCGCATGTTCACACAACCGAGTGATTTTGAACACCGTTATCTTACGGTTGGAGGTGCCGTTGTTTTGGCCCCCAGTACCTGTTAACTCCTAACGTTTTTTTGCAGATCCATTTGAAGACTATGCCTGCTTCTACATATCGACTGCTGACTGGCCAGGATCAGCCTCTTTATCTCTGAGGACAGAGGCTGAATGTTGTATCAGCAGAATACTACTGAATCATTTATGCTCTAACTCAAAATCACGATTTGCAGTATCACAACTGCAGCTAGTTGTAACGGTTATTTTAAAATTAGGTTTAAATGATAGATTGGGTCTTATTTTTGTCATCTGAGCTGAAAGTGCTATGATAAGTGATTGCCAGTGTGCCTCTGTTAGCAGTGGTTAGAAAACACCTGTACTTTCAGTTCCGAGTCACTTCTGATTTTAGCCTGTGATTTAATGAGAAGAGCTGTGTTGCAGAGAGTTTCTAATACCTTAAGGGAGACATGATGTCATGCATGAGCATCACATGTTTTATGCAATAAACACTGTTTTCTTTCCTGTTAAGTCTTCTGTGATCTGAAAATCCTCAAATCCAGTAAAAATATGGAGGTCAGTATAGTCTCTCAGCCGCTATGAGCAATTCGTAAGCAGGATCAGTGGTATCCACTCACCATTTGCCCTTGGGTGAGCACGGGGGGGTCCCGTCTAGCTGGATCGGGAGTACGGGGGGGTCCCATCTAGCTGGGATCGGGAGCATGGGGGGGGTCCCATCTAGCCGGATCGGGAGTATGGGGGGGTCCCATCTAGCCGGATCGGGAGCACGGGGGGGTCCCGTCTAGCCGGATCGGGAGTATGGGGGGGTCCCGTCTAGCCGGATCGGGACTCTGTCCGCGGGCTTCGATGCCGGCGTCTCTGTCCGCGGGCCGTGATGCTGGGCAGAGTGTGATGTCGCTTTGCTAGTTCCTATGTGAGCATGCTCATATTTTTTATTTTTGATTAAAAATTAATTCAAAATTTAATTTTACAACACAAAAATAAGAAAAGTTATTAATTCTTGCATATCAATGCTGAGAAGTTCACATGGAGGAAGACAGCAAACACAACACGGTGTCCACTGCCATTCGCTTTTCCCATAAGTTCTCTTCAAAACACGTTTTTACTATAAAAATGATTTCCTGTTGAAATAACGTGTCTTGCAGACTATGAGAGCATTGGGTGGAATGAATTAGGTACGAAAAGCTGCTCTGTCCCGTCATCCTTTCCTGGGGCCAAACGTGAAGCATGCTGAGTCATTTTATTTGCACCCTGCATACTCCTTCGTGTCTGTGCACCATTAGTCTGCGCGCTGACACCAAATACAGGCCCATCACAGCTGCACAACATGACTGTGGTTCTTAGGAGAAGTGAGAGAGACCTGCAAACTCCCTCGAGGCTCTTCCAAGCAAAAATGGCCACTCATGCAAAGTCATGCTACTGCCCCGAACTTCTGGAAATCACCGCTGCGGTCCAGTGGAGGTCCAGTGGAGGTCCAGTGGCCTATGAATGCCTTCGTAACTCTTTCCAAACTGGGAGGTGTTAACTACAGCATTCTAGTGGTTTCAGGAATGTCATGTGATCGTAGCACTAGGTGAACAGGCATGCTGGTAATGTCACTTGAATGCTATGGCACCACGTCAGTGACATCAAGCAGGGCTCCTTGCCAAAATGATTCTTCCACTGACCGTAACTGCTCCTTTATTTTGGTTTAAGAATGCAAAGTATCCTTATATTCTGACTCCATTTATATATACTTCTGCAAAGAAATGCAATCAAATGCAAAATAAGCAAAACTATAACAACAAAACAGTTCTGATTACATATATTCAACATAAATGCAATTACAGTGTGAAGTCAGCTCCAGTGGTTTGTATCATTATCAGTCAAGAAGCAGAAATAGATAAGAATGACACAATCAAAGATTATTTTGCTTCCTTTTTCAGAAGCATTTGAGGTGCTGCTTTATTCTTTAGTTTAAACAACCATTTGAAGTGCATAAGAAACAGCAGGATTTCATCACTAGAGAATTTAAGGAAATGTTACTTCTGTAGCAGACACTGCTCTTCCAGGCCGGATTACCATGAGCTACACTGCATTTTCAGTGTGCATAACTGCATCCTTCTGCACTGTGCCCAAGCGCTTTATACGTCACGTGTTTCAGTTTGATGAATTGCAACTTCCTTTGGTTTGAGCTATGGACGCCCTGCTCTTACCTCGCCTCTTTCTTGCATAGACCCTCCTGATGAATAAAACACCACATTGCTGGTTATTGCTGGTTTGGTGCTGGTTAGTGCTGGTTTGGTATTGGTATAGCTGGTGGACTAGCATAACTGTGCTTCACTACCTGCAGATAAAAATGGTCCAATATGTCATTAACGATGCTGCTCTAGCAGCACCAAAACACAACATATGCTGTATAACCAGCACACATTATGTTGGTTGCGCTGGTAACCAGCTATGCCAGTCTATGCTGCTTTTTTTCGCAGGGCCTGTTTTGGTGCATGTCCAAACAACTCTTTTTAACAAGCGTGAGTTTCATACCTCCCTGCAAAGCAGATGACTGTTTATCTAACAGCAATCAACATATAGTACTAAGAGACTATTCCAGATTTGTACATTCACATGGTAACAGACCTCTGAAACTGCATGGTGTGTGACTCTGTGACCGTTGCCTTGGATAAGCACTTGGTTCACAGTGATCCTGTACTGGAGGCCGGATGAATTCAAGGCCGTAGCCATGGAGTCAACACAGGCAGGGACCAAGGCCGTAATTGTAATATACATTGCGGGGGGCATTGTTTTAAACTGAAAGTTATGTGTTTAACACAACTTTTTTAAAGTATAAGAATAAAAAAAAACAACTGATGAACTGTTTGTGCTTTACTGTATGTCACCCGTGATTTTTGGAGCCTCGAGGCTTACGGACTGTCCTGCATTTAAAAACTCCTAACTGTGGGTTTTCGGCTTTAGATTGGGCTTGTTTACATATCAGATCTAAATTCGCCGTAAATTACTTTTAGATAAAGCTCTATTCAGTAGGAATGTGCTGAACAACTAAAATGTCTTCATACGTGGCACAAACTGGCTAAATGTTTTAATATAGATTATCTCATGCTCTGTGCTAAAGCCACACCATAGTGGCCCAATTGATGCAAAGATAATGCCCAGCTCATTCGTATTATTAGAAAATGATCTTCCCACGTCCGTCACCTCCAGGGTTGCATAATGTGAGAATGAGGCGCCTGTGTTGCGCTGGGACTTTTGGAATCTCACGTTTCCGGTTTTATTTGAATACCGAGGAATTTCATAATTCCAAATTACGCATATTTGGCAGCGAGAAAATGGCGTTTTGTCAACTGCGCGAAAAACTTTAGTTAAAGTCCCTAAATTCCTCAGTTCAGCCTCATAACCCGGTGTGCATCCCGGTTCGCTGGCGACTCGACGGCGGAAACTCCCATCCTGCAGGAATTTGCCTCTTTCTATCCATATAAGGACTTTTTGATATCAATCACGACTGAAAATGGGAAAGGAGGAGCCTGTGCGTAAGTAAGCGTGCAGCGCCCATTATGAAAGACACCGGAGGAAGTCAGTGCTCTCGCCCAGAAGTGCGGGGATCCCATGCTGGAGAAAGCGGCTCCTGCTTTAGTCCTGAACTTTAAGGAAGAAACCGGAGCACACAGACAGAATGTCCAGCTCACAGTTTAACAAAGGACCCGCGTATGGATTTTCTGCAGAAGTCAAAAGCAAAGTAGGTTTATTAAATGTATTTTAGTGTATTTCTTTCTGAATGCGTGTCCTCCATGTTTAGCTTGCGAGTGGCGCAAATCTGATAAACACGTGAAGGCAGTAAATACCTCGCATTTTCTGAGTTTTCCTTTTCACTTTGTTGCTGGTCGTCTGGAAACTTTAACCCAAAACCGCGTCCATTTTTTTTATACACTTTTTTTGGTGACTATTTTAAATCGATTCAAAGTATAGCCCACTTTCAAAGATTTAATCACTTTTGCCGTCTGTGATGATCTGACTATATCCAAAATAACTTCAAAGACGACTGACAATTGGGCGTCACCCACAGAAGACTATATTTTTTTTATATTGATGATAGTTATTCCTTTGTTTTGTAGCCGTTCAGATGGACTGCATGCCTGTGTACTAATGCAACAGGAGGAGACGTTTTCGAAAGTGAACTTTAGGGTGTTTTTAAGGTAATGATCGGGCAACTGGATGCGATCTGACTTCCTTGGTTTGCGAAAAGCAGCCGGTGCTCGCTACACGTGTGAAATACTGACATGGAAATAAGACAAGAGCAGTTTTTAACTATGCAGTTGTCAAATCTTGAAATATATTAAACACATTTTTTTAATGCAGTGTCTCAAGAAGTGCAACTTGATTCGGGTTTTTAAGCAATCCAGTCCCCCCCAGTGGTTGGCACAAACAGACCCTCTACCTTACGACGGGGATTTTCTAAATGTTTTATTTTTAAGTTGGTATATAGGACCAGAAGGTTAAGCGTGATTTTTCTGTCTTTCAGCGATGAAACTGATAAATTTGCATTTAACTTTTTTTTTTATGTGCGATATCGCCGCTAGTTTTACCTCTGTAGTTTCTGTTACATCAGACGGCAAAGCTGATATAATTACTAACAAGGTTTTAAAATGGCAACTTGCGGTTCTATGTCTTCTATAGTATTCTAAAACGAAATGATTTCTCTTTTCCTGCTTGTACCGAATGATATTATGCAGGCCTATTTCGTTGTCTAAGAGGGGAAGTGAGTTTGTCCGATACTGAGGATTTTTTAAGAATGTGGGTTGCTTTAAGGAAGCTTAGGCCTATCTAGAGAACGATCAGCGTGTTCGCCCATATGCTTATTCATGCAGCTCGCAAACGATTTTGTTTACGTGTCCTTGTTAATTCTGAAGGATGTGGCTGTTAAGTGTCGTCACATTAATGTGATCACACCGAAAGTCGGTTTTGCTCATGCTCTGAACTGAGTCCACACCCTCTACTTCTTAAATAAACAGGAATTGTTTGTTACAACGTATTTATCTGTCCCCAGAGTCTAAACACAATGTAGCCTTGACATTCCAGTCTCTTCTCGGTCAAAGGACTTCAACTTCTTATACTGGACAACTTGTAGAATAAACTATTTTCCAGGCACCTTCTATCACTTGCTCTGATATGGTTGATGGCTGTTTGATTGCATTTCTGACGCCCCAGTATTGCAGTAAATGTTTGTTTTTAAGGAACCATGCTGGCCCTTAATCATTCCCCCCCCCCCCCGATTTTCGTCGCTGTTTTAAAATAAGCAGAAGTCTTGGGTTTCTAGTGTTTAAACTGAAACCAGCTTGTTGTCCTTCCTGACTGGTGCTGTGAACCAAACTACAGAGAAAATGAAGATTTTATTTTCTCGTATGCTAGATTTTTGGGTTAAGCTTCATTGGCTGGTGTTCTTATGGTACATTTTATGTACTATACATTTAATATTTAATTTATACCATCGAGGCTGAATGGCGACATTAAGATGTTTACAGCGTTAACTGCTGACTCACAGGTTGTATGCTGTCCAGGCAGACATTTAGACTCTTCAAACCTTGTCCGTATGGGTGCTGAAGGTGTCTTGTGACCGTAATCGAGAATTCTGTGCTGAACCTCCACCTTCCTTCCCCTTCCTGTGGCTGGGGGGGGATTCGTCATACACCTATTGCTGTGGCAGGATGTGTGTTCATCACTGACGGTGCACAAATCGCTGGCGGCATGTTGGATGTCTCAACATGGTCCTGTTACCTTTTTTGTTGGTGTGCAGACTGTTTTCTACACTTTAATTTACTAAAAGAAATTTTATAAAACACCCATGACATGTTTGCTATAAACAAATCATCCCGTTTAATGACATGACATCTATCTTTTAATTGGTTGTCATGGTTACAGTCTTGGGGTCCTGTTAAAATAATTTGATCAGTTTAGCTTATTTTATAATCATAACCGACACCCTTGTGTTCTGTAGCAGGAAGGTGGAAAGACTACAGGCTAAGTGTAATGTTAGGGTTGACATTCTGAGACTGCATTGGGATTGAGGATTGATGGTCTACAGGTCCTCAGATAACACTGTGTGCTGGTGTTTGTTCCATTGACTGAATTGTTTCTAGGTAACTACATCAGTGAGCAAGATGATTCGCTGGATAAGAACACGTTTGAGCCGTTGATTTAATTGAATTGCGCAGTTTGTTTGAATGGAAAGATGAAAGACCCTGACTTCATTTTACGGTTCTGCTAAATTTGTCATGAATAATTATGGTGAGGAATGTAAGTTGTAAAATGGTTCAGTCTCATATAAAAGGAATAACAGCAAGTTACTGTTTGGCCCTTTTTATAATTGATTGATCTTAAGTTAATCATTGGCCAGGTAGATTTAATATTTACCTCCCCTAAATGCATACATTGCATTGGTTTAGAGGAGTAAAATGGTGTGGCTGACGCTGCTTCTGTGTAAGGAATCGGTCTAAAGCTCTGCAGAAAGACCAGCTTGCTGTCCTCGGTCTCCCCTTCGGTGGTCATGCGACTTACACATACCTTCCGGAATCTCCTCCTCCTTGTCTGGTTGGAGCTTTTGAGGGAATGGCGCACATTGCCATAGACTGTGTAGAGATGACTGTGAGGAACCCGCTGTAAACCACCCGACAGTGTTACAGTGGTTTATCTCGCGAGCTTCCCTGTTCTCAATGCTGAACTCCAGGGACCTGGCCTGGCTATCTGCTTTAAAGTGCCGCTTTGATTTTGTTTGTAGACTGACTTGTATGTTGCTATTTCCGCTGCTATCCATTTCAATGTAACACGATGTCAATTGTTTAATCCATCTCAAGCAGCCCTCATTAAGAGGATCTGAAAACTGAGTCGGGTCACTGGTTTGAATCCTACGGCTAGTAGAGTAGTCATATAATTGTTGGGCCCTTGGGCAGCCTGTTAATGCCAAAGACTGCTCTGGGGGGGGGGGCGGCAGAAAATGGCTGACCTTGTGCTCTGACCCAAAGCTTTGCTCTCGTGTGTGTGTCAGGCTAGAAAGATGGCATATGTGAAGATTGAATTTCATTGTACTTGCTACCTGTACAATAACAATAATTCTTCTTCCTGTTCTTGGGACAGCATGAATAGGTAAAAGGTTTTAGGGCTGTAATGTATAACTTGACTCCTAACTCTTTATTTACTTACACCCATTGTCACTCAGATTGCCCAGAAGTATGATCCTCAGAAAGAGGAGGAATTGCGGATTTGGATCGAAGATGTGACCGGACGCACCATCGGGGACGACTTTCAGAAAGGTCTGAAGAACGGGGTCATCCTGTGCGAGTGAGTCCCTCAGACCTTTGGTCCTATGCCTATCAATATATAACACGAGACTCCGCATGGCTATGAAGTCACCTGTGTTTCATGACTCGTATATTTAGACAAATTGATTTCGTTTGCAGACTGATCAATAAGCTGAAGCCTGGCTCTGTGAAGAAGATAAACCAGTCCTCTCAAAACTGGCACCAGGTCAGTCCCCCTGCGAACTCTCTGGCTTAATGAAGTGTGTTTGCTGGCATGAGCTGGCTTGCAGGATCTCAAACACAGGGGTGGGGCCAGGCCTGAAGAACAATGGCCCTGCTTCCTGAATTGCATAACTGGAATGCATGCCTAAGGAGGGAACCCAGTAAAGCTTCTCCTTGGAATGTCTCTCGCCCAGCGCTGAGCCTCTCCAGCTGTGTCCTGAAATCAGAGTTGCTGCTGAATTGCGGAAAGTTCGTTTGGTTATAAAGTGTGACCTTAATCTCTTCTCTCGTGGAAGATTTAGAACAGACTGTTCGCAGTGGAAACTTTTTTTTTTTTTTTTTTTAATGTGGTTTTAAGTTTCACCATCTCCAACTAAAGCTCATGGAGCTGAAGAATCTGCCGCACGGTCCGAGGTTTTATTGTAAGGGCTGCTTGTAATTTGAATGGGTGGCGGCCATTTTGGTCGCGGAAAAGCACATGGGAGTTATTCTAGTTTTTACTGTCCCATGTAATTAGAGGGGTGCAATTCCAACTTGCTTTACAGACTTTATAGATGGTGCAATATGGTCATTTTATGTCAAAGGGGGACAGAAATGGCCTTGAATGGGATTAATTTGGGATGATACTGCAGCTGGGCAAAATAAACCGTGTGTATAATATAAAATATATACACACACTGTGGAAAAGTACAGTACTGTAGACTGAAGTAATGAAATAAATGCAGCTGTGAAGGTCAGTCGTATGTTTGAATGCCGATTAGTAGAACGTATGTCAAGGATGAAAGGAAATGGCACTTTGGGGTGTTTTTAAAGCTGAATTCCTGAGTGCCTGAATTGTAGGTGCATTGGTAACAAAACCTGTAAACCTTTGTCAATAGTTTCCAGTCGTGGCAATTTATGCCAAACATGGACAAACTGCTGCGCAAGTTTCTGAAGGGGAATAGTGATTGCAAGCTGAAGCCTGATGACCGGAATAGATTACACCACCAAAGCAAAAAAAAATAACCTACCACAGAAAACCATTTGAATTCAGCTTTGTTGCAAAAAGCTTGCATTTATTGCTGGGTTGCTTTCGGAAATGGTTCGCACTGAAGGCCAATGCAGACTCATGACCGATCTTTATGGTCAGTAAGACTCAACACGTAACATTAATGAATTATTACCACCAACCCCCCCAATAATGAAACGGCTGCATCCCCATTTGATTTTTAATTTTGCATTTTTTAAATTTTGTTACAGCTGGAGAACCTGTCAAACTTCATCAAAGCCATCACCACATATGGGATGAAGCCACATGACATCTTTGAAGCCAATGACCTGTTTGAGAGTGGCAACATGACCCAGGTGCAGACCACGCTTCTGGCCCTGGCCGGCATGGTAAGCTCTTGGTCTCCATGGTCCTATTGCCCTGTCGAGTTGAAAAACGCCCCCTTCCTTTCAGTCTCCCGTACTGCTTCCTTAGTGTAATACCACTGCATCTTAAAAATGCTCCTGCTCATTACTAACCTGTTTTCCGTGATCACACATCCTGGCAAACCATGACGAACCAGAAACTTTCTTGAAAGCATATTGCATAAGTCAAGTCTGATCCTTGACAGGACGCCAGCTCATTGCAGGGCGCTTCTACATACCAAGCACAGTTTCATCAGCCGCATAGGAACTTCAAGAAAGCTGCACAAACTGCATGGTAGTTAATGAAGAGCAAACACCAACTACTGGCCCTATCCAGTGAGCTCCAGCGCCTACTTGGTGGTGTTTCTTGCAGGCCAAGACTAAAGGCCTTCAGACCTCTGTGGACATCGGGGTGAAGTATGCAGACAAGCAGGAGAGGGCCTTTGGTGAGGAGAAGATGAAAGCTGGACAGTGTGTGATTGGGCTTCAGGTACGAGAAGAGCTTGAAGAATGATCACACTTTGGTTAGGGAGGATGTTATTGGAAGTGGCTGTTCATTGATCAGCGGTGACTTTTTTTTTTTCTGACTTCGAAATTCCTGTTCTGTCTTGCAAAAGATGGGCACTAACAAGTGTGCCAGCCAGGCGGGCATGAACGCCTATGGCACGAGGAGGCACCTGTATGACCCCAAGGCACACATCCGGGCCCCGATGGACAACTCCACCATCGGTCTCCAGATGGGAACCAACAAAGGAGCCAGCCAGGTAGGCATTCCGTCTGCTGCTTCCTGTCATTTACTGAGCAGAATGTTCTTCAGAGCAACGCTTGCAAAATGTCAAGCAGTAATGCCCGCTTCATAAAGGTGATGCACACACAATGGTATTAACTTCATCGCTTCCTACAGGCTGGCATGACGGCTCCTGGAACCAGACGTGCCATTTACGACCAAAAGCTGGGCACTGACAAATGCGACAACAGCACCATGTCACTGCAGATGGGGTACACTCAGGGCGCCAACCAGAGCGGCCTGAACTTTGGTCTTGGCCGCCAAATCTACGATGCCAAGTACTGCCCCAAGGGTGAAATGGGGGATGACCAGAATGGCGTGACGGCGGGGGGCTATACTCAGGAGTACCAGGACGAGGGCTACCAGGGGTACCAAGAGGAGGGGCAGGACTACTAGAGCGATCATCGGGGTGAAGGAAGAAGCTGCTTAGATTTAGGGTGACTGTCCTTAAACGATGTTTCTGCTTTAAAAAAAAAAAAAACCTGCTCCTTATTTTGGACCAATTTTTAATGTGAACATCTCTCTGAAATGCATTATTCTGTCACCTGTATTTCTGGACACGTCATGCACAGGATTGAATATATTGGTTTTAGACTCGGAGCTGAAAACATTCTTTTTTTCCTTTGGTGTATCATATGTTTTACTCTAAGTGTCTCCCCTTTTTATACGGTCGCACCAAATGCAGAAAGGCTTTGAGAATCCAAACCATTATACATGAAAGTACTGTTGATAGCTCTCTGCCTTTGTACCTATTCTGCTGAATTATGCTGTGACTCTGCCTGTGATGTCAGAGTTTCTGTAGCGAATAATGAGTATTCAGAGGCTCAGGTAGCTGTTATTTTAGACGTCAATGTAAGGATGATTGGTGTAGTGTTACGTTTTGACAGAAGGTTTTTATAAGAAATACTTCTATTAAAATTTGAGCTTTTTAATTTTTTTGATTGTATGATTGCAGACTTTTTAATATAAAGGGAACAATTTGCCATCTCAATTCTGGACCAATTTCTCCCTGAAATGAATGACATAATGTCCATTTTTAAATGTTAGCTGTCAGACTCTAGGAAATATGAAGCTGTATTATCTAATATTTCAGTATTTGTTCCATGCCATTCTTTCTATGAACTGTGTACCATTTCATGTACAAAGCTTTCAACTGATTTGCTGATATGGCAGAACTGCAATAAATTAAGTTTATACAATGTCTGTGGTTCATCTGATTTTTTTTTTTAATGAGATTGTCTGCCAAGATATGAGGTTTTGAGTAAGTGACCATACTTTACAAACATTTGTGTGTGTGTGTGGGGGAAGATGGATAAATGTCCTTTAACCTTTTTGATTTGGGACAATAATGGCGGTAAAGGAGGTTGTATTTACTTCATGAGGTCATTTCCTTGCGATAAAATGAATCTGTATTACTGATTGGAAGAGCAGCATTCATCGAACGCATCAAATATGGTGTGTAAGTTACTAGATGCCGAGTTACATTTTTAATACACTTGCATAGTAAATCGTTTGCTGTTTAACCCGTCAGGGAATGCAGGGCATCTACAGTAAAGACTGTTTGTGATATGTAAAATCGTTCAATGACGTATTGCACGTGGCAGTGTCGAAAACTTATTGATTTAATTTACGTGTAAGAATATGCATTTACGAAACAAATTAAGTTATGTAAAGGACATCCATATTTCCAAGAATGTAATTTAAGGTTTCGTTCTTATTGTACAAGTATTTACTGAAGCTGTTTTGTGAAAATGTGTCTCTAAACATTCAACAACTTTTGTTATAAATCTTTTGATTTAATTTCAAAGCCCATTTCTGTGTACTACACGTAGGGTTGCCAACTCTCGCGCATCTGGCGTAACACTCACGCTTTGAGACTTACGCTCGTGCAAGGAATCTTACGGGAAATCTATATCATTTCATTATGAACTTAAAATCAGCCACATCAAAAGCGTTGGGGTAGTTTGCAAACCCCACAGACTGTTAACAAGGTAATAGAACTGTTACATACATGTAAGTGTGTGTGTGTGCAGACTTGTCTAGAATTGAAAATCTCACGCCAGCCGGTTGACCAAAGTTGACGATCCTCTATACATTTAAGGTATAAAAACTCTAGCGCTCGTCCAAATTTATGAACCGCATTTAAAACGTGAGCACCTTGGCGTCCTCGTGTATCTGCCAGCCCCCTTCCAGGCCCTCGACCAATCACGTTCGCCGATATTCGGACATGAAGCGCGCCGACCAATTAACGCAGGCGCCGGTGTGTGTCTGCTTCTCCCGACCAAACAGGTCTGTTACGGAGAGAGAAACAGCGAAGACGGTGCGCCGGCTAATTATCGGGACCCTTGGGGATCCCCGGCATGGAACGTTATCACGGATGTAAGCCACGAACGGCAATGCAAATACGGGTGCTACAGCAGCATGTTTTCTGGTTTTTGAACTGAGTATACGTCCGCTGTGTAATTCTGAATGCATGAATATTTCATAAGAGCTGGCTTTCCGCAGTATCGTAGCCTAACACCAGGAAGAGACCGCACATCTTGATACGGGATGTCTGCTAAAAGCAAGCAGAGGAGGAAGCCTGAAATAGGCAAGTGACAGCGCTTGGGCTGGCCGCTAATGCCAAGTTTTCTGCTCCTATGTGGAGGTGCGTCATATGTAAATCTAAAGGCAATGGTAACTTAATGTGCAGTTTGAGTCGCCAGGTCATATTGTTATTTGTATTTTACAATATTTGTTTTGTTTAACTTACATTATTACATGTACATTATTAATGCTTTTCCACGAAAATGACCATGAACCATTGGCGGCTTTAACATCATACATGTCATTATAAGTAAGGGCTGCTGCAGTTTGCGGACAGTTCGGTTTCTTGTGTCTTTTGCCGGTAAGTTGTAGAAATGTTTTTTTGAACAGATGTTTCCTTTAATTCTGGCAGTCGTTGTGAAATGAATGTGCATGTGCACAGGCAAGTGCATCTAGTGATATTCATGGTGGTGAGTTTGAAAAGTAAAATACAGCAGTATGCTGTTTAACCCGTCAGGGAATGCAGGGCATCTACAGTAAAGACTGTTTGTGATATGTAAAATGACCTGTAAGCTAATTAGCATAAAAGGGACTGATGAATCCGCACGTGATGGGAAGGCCTGTGTAGATTAAATCCTAGAATTTTGCCAGAGAATATTTGAATTACAAGGACCACATTTCTAAATGACTGCATGTTTTACTACTGACTGTCATTTTGAAGGATATTTTCAGTTACTAATATCATATATCCCTTTTCACTCAGAAAAAAACATTGCAAATGTCTGTTAATGTAAATTAGTTTTTGGTTCCTTCTAGTGAATCTTACAAATGGATTTAAAATTTTTGTGCGGGCAATAGGTTTACAGGAGCAACCATACAAAAGAAGTCACAGTTTCAGATATTTATAAATCAGTTGCCAATACCTGGCCTCATGCTGTCGGCACAGGTCCTGTTTGTATTGGCTACATGTGGCAGTCTTCGTTTGCTCGTAGCCTCTGCCTTTAGCAGTGCTGCCCCCCTGTCTTGTCACAGCCTCAGCGCTGGGCCACAGCTGATTAGCATGCTAGCACAACACAACAGGCCATGGCATTCTGGACGAATCTCAAGCTCCTGCTCTGGAAGAACATCACTTATCGCAGGAGGAACACGGTAGGCTTTGGGCTCCAGCTTTCCCTCAAGTAACCATGTGGACTACAGATCTTCTTATATTATGCTGCTATTTCATTCAGGATAAATCTTGTATTTGTTGATTTCTGATGGGTGAAGTTAAGGCTCATTAATAACTGCTGTATAGCACCATTTGTTACCTGGCTTTCTATTTCTGCAGGTCCAGCTCATTATCGAGCTGCTTTGGCCCCTCTTCCTGTTTGTCATCCTCATTTCTGTCCGCTTCTCTCATCCTCCGTACAAGCAGAGGCAATGTGAGTGTCTGCTGAACCTTCGTCTGGGACGCTGAAAGCGCCCTTTATTCATGGCAGTATGTCCTCTCCCTGGCTCACTGCAAGGCCTGCTTGTCTGTATGGGCTGATTCACTAAGTGAAGATGCTTCTATGTGTCATGCACAGGTTAAAGCTCTTGACCTTGAAACTAGTTTACCAGCTTTTCTATTTGTTCTGTGCTTCAGGTCATTTTCCCAACAAGGCGCTTCCTTCAGCAGGCTCACTAGCCTGGGTGCAAGGCATCATCTGCAACATCAACAACCCATGCTTTCAGCAGCCCACTCAGGGTGAGACCCCAGGCTGGGTGGACAACTTTGACAAATCCATGTGCGTATGTAGTACTGCCATCAGAAGCTGACAGAAGAGCAGTTTGTCTGGATTTTTGACATGTCTATCAATTTACATTCACGTCTCATTGCGCATTCCCTTTCTTGCAGAATCTCTCGACTTTTTGTTGATATCAGAACCATCTTGGCCTACGGTGGCAATCATTCAGCCTTTTCAGAGTTCCAAGACATACGATTGGCACTCCAAAAAATTAGAGGAAGTCCAAGCGTCTGGCCAGGTACACACTTCCCATCTACATTAAGGATTAAATTACTAGTCCTTCTGCACCCATATTGACATTCAGGAGTGTATTTACTTCTCCGGGGCCCCTAGGCTGACATTGGTCGGGGCCCGTAAGTCGGCCATTTGAGCTGTTTTTTCGAGCCAAAGGAGAAATGTGAGGGAATTAAAAATGATTGAATATCAATAATACTTTAATCAAAGCACGGGATGATAGTAGTAAAACTTACCGATCAGGATGGAGGGGTGAATGTTGTTGTTGAAGTTGGCTGATGTAGGGGGGTGTCAAGAGGATCGATTGGCTTAATTTAAGAAGTTTATCCGTTCTCTGTGATGGACTGACATTTTGTCCAAGGTGTCCCCTGCCTTGTCCCCTGTGCTGCTTGGGATAGACTCTAGACTTTATACTCGGCTGTGGACCGGTAAAAAAAATGCAGTTATTATGTCCAAATGGTTCCCTGGAACACCTGTAGCTGTGTGCGTTTGGCTAAGGAACTGCTGAGCAATTATAATTTTTTTTAATGGTTGTTTTCGTGGTTGGAAGACATGCCTGTGGAGGAGTACCTGCGTCCCAATGAGACCTTCTCCACTTTCCTCCTGGTTAATGGGAGCTTGGCTCCAGCTACCCTGGACCAGCTTATGACAGCACGGCTCAACTTCCAGGCCGTAGGTCACATTCCTCGTTTTATAATGAAGACGTCATTATAATCATATTTAGCATAAGATGTTTCCATAAACGAAACAAAGACAACGGAGAACATGATTCGACAGGATAGTGGAAGTGTTTGCAGTTTTCTCTGTCTGCCTGTAGGTGTCACTGGCTGGAGCGGGCTTTGATCTGAAGCAGGTTGTGTGCAATGCCACCCTGCTGGGTCAATACATGACCGTAGGTGGAGGTGATTCTTTGGGGGAGCTGCAGGAGTCTCTGTGTGCGATGCCCTCCGACATGCTGCAGGCAGCCCAGCGGATGTTCTTCTCCCAGCTGGACTACAGTAAGATCTTCATGGTCAGTGTGAGATCCCAGAGACGCTTTCAGCTCTGATGTTACCTAATGGCGAAGTCTCAGCTGATGGCTTCGCTGACTAAAGCTAACTAGTCAAGCGAGTTGTTGCGAAATGCAAATCCGCCCAGTCATACAATATTATTGTTGTCATCCCTGAATCCTCATATGCTCATATCCTCATATGCTGCCCAAGCTTTTCTGTCATACTTACACAAACAAGTTTAGCACCCTTCTTTTTTATACAGACACTTCAGAATATTGAGTAGGATTCAGTGCTTAATATGGATTTGAGCATATGCCAGTCCAGCCCTGATGTGTCAGAGGATGAATATGAACCATTCAGTTATACCACACAGTCATAAAAAGCTTCTGTTGTGATGCTTATTGCATCTGAAAGAGAAATGGGTCCGTGATTGCACAGTTCACGCTAGTATAGTCTGCCGCATGCATGCAGGAGTTCAAATGAATGTTGCTCAACAGAATGTCCCTAAAGTGGACTGGACACCGGCTCAGCGTGCTCGTGACCGCAGTCTCACGGCCCCCTCTTTCCTGCTTGTAGAGGAACCGGCCGATGTCGAATTTTGACGAACTGCGGATCCTTAGCGATGCGGTCGCTTCCGTTTCCGGAGAGATGGCGTCCCTCTTAAACAATGTAAGAGATACGGCTTGTGGGACCTTGAGGGAGAGGGTTTTTATCTGAACCAATCTGCATATCTTCCGTGGTGTGTCCATGAGATTAAAATTTAGATTTTGGCATTTAACTAAGGCCTGTTCTTTGTGACCCCCCCCCCCCCAGTTGACCTCCATGTCCAGCTTCTCAGAGCTGATGGCAGAGCTGCACACTTTGTCCCCGGAGAACGGCTCGGCCTCCCCCCGCGAGAGCTTCAGGGCCGTCTCTCGGGTCATGTGTGGCCACCCAGAGGGAGACGGGGAGCAGATCCCTTCACTCAACTGGTATGAGGACAATGACATCAAGTCCTTCCTGAGCACGACGAGCAGCGAGGAAGAAGCCACACAAAAGCACAACACCAGTAAGCAGGACTGGTCTTTTTATAGAGAAAAAGTTCCTCCCAGCCTTCTTACAATATAATATTAAATATAAAATAATGGTGTATTTAACAGGATTTTTAATAACTTTATAGGAAGACTTTTATTAATCCAAATATTTTGATATCCCGAATAGGGATGCCAAAATCCCATAAGTTTAGTAGTTGTTACCAGTACCAGTGAAATTTCACAATTCACAATACCCAGTTTGATACTCGGTAGAACACAAAAACAAAACAATAAATTCTATGTATTTCAACATTGTCTCTATTATCAAAAACATTTGTACATTACAAAACAGTGGCATGTAGCCATCATGTAATAAATAAGAACAAAAACAGTAATTAAACACAGGTAATACATTTTTTACACATATACAGTATTTACAGTTTTTAAAATGCCCTGTGGGAAAAAGTTAATAAAGCAATCGCATCACCAATTCGCATCATCAATTCGCATCACCAATTCGCATCACCAATTCGCATCACCAATTCGCATCATCAATTCGCATCACCAATTCGCATCACCAATTGCGAAGAGCTTAAAAACAAATGTAATGTAGGTCAGTAACTGTGAAAAAGCATCAGGAGGGTCGTCAGGCTCCAAAATCAAGCAAAAATTTGTTTAATAACAAAAACCACAATATTATGTATGGTAGTGCAAAAACTTGAATAAAATATAAAATTAAAATATTTTTATCTGTATAAGTAACACTTTTAGAAATTGTTTTGTGACATTTCTTGACTGCCAGGATTTGAATCAGACCATGTTTGTGATTCAAGAATAGCAAGCATTTTATTTTGGGTATGTCCTATTTCCAAAAATATTTTTAAATGGGGGAGAGAGGCAGGTTGGAGGTGGACTAGAACACTTGTAGATGTATGTGGTGCTCTCATGTCTGGAAGAATCGCATCCACGGTACCCAGGGGCGCCGTAAGGGGGAGGAAAGCTAGGACGATTCCAAGGGCCCCTGAGTGACAGGGGCCCTAAAAAATTAGGAAAATAACTGGATTGGTTTGGACTGGGGGGCCTAATCTGATATGCTTTCATGGGGCCCAAAATCTCTAGCAACGCCCCTGACGGTACCTACAGAAAAACAAAAAACGACGGTACCCAAAATTCTGGCATCGACTTGTTACCAAAGTATCAGTTCTCATGACAACCCTAGTCCAGGACTTTAGTGATGTTTTAGAGAAAAATATATTTAGACAAACTGTGAATGTTAATTTAGAGCGTGGCACTTTGATGACACATCAATTACGCTAAAAAAATGCTGTGTGTTACTAACATATTAATAAATATATACATTTTGAGAATTTGTCTACAATCAAGCCCAGAGGTGACGTGAAAAGATATGCCAATTGAATCATTGACACCAGGCTTGTCCATGCGCTGAGGCGTTTTGTTTGCCAACATGAATCTGAATGTCACATACATAATGCCGGAATTGCTCAGTGAAAGTGTGCACTGTCCCTGTGCTACAGCTCCATACTGCGAGAGTCTGATTGGGAACCTGGAGTCCAATATGCTGTCACGTATTGTGTGGCGAGGAGTCAAACCACTGCTCACTGGCAAGCTGCTCTTTGCACCAGACACGCCCATCACGCGCCGCATCATGGCAGAGGTACAGTGCACCGCGTACGCAACTCTTCTCATTTTTCTCTCACTTCATTTTCTCCTTTCCCTCATTTTTCTGTTGACATTTCATGCTATGATGCTTCATTTTGATTTTTTTTCTTAAATAGGTTTATGAGTCTCTTTTATTTTTCTGACTGCTGTAAAAGGCTACCATTGGCCAGTCTACCTAAGTAAATTTGTGTGCATGAGCATCCACGCTTATGATGGCTTGTAGGTGAATAAAACCTTCCAGGACCTGACGATTCTGGAGGATGTTGCAGGTGCTTGGGAGGAGCTCGGACCACAAATCAGGACTTTTATGGAAAGTAGCCCCGAGGTTCAGCTCCTACAGGTAGGACTGGAGGATGATCACTTCCCATCATTTTCAGTAGTGATCAGTTTGCTTTATACCATGCATTTTCTGACCTGCACTCAAGTTAAATAAGATGCCGTAATCGTCTTACAAGTCCTTCCCACCATCCGTCGTCTGGGTTGCAGGATCTTTTGGGACGCCCCGACTTGGCAACACTTGTAGACCTTCGCTTGGAGAACAGCTCCTGGACAGCTGCACGAATTTCCGAGTTCTTGTCCACACGGCCTTTGAACACTTCTATGAGTTCTGGTGCGACGCCCACATGGCGAGATGTTTACCAGGACATAAACAACACCGTTGGCATCATCTCACAGATCACCAAGGTACCCGTTCTATGGTGCCTGATACTCCAGACACTGGAGACATTTGCTTAGGCAATAGGCATTTCTCTTTATATTTGTTTGTTGTATGTATACTCGTGTTCTTGCGACTTGTCCTGTACCAAGTTGCGGTGAGCCTGGAGCCAGGGGCCTGTTTTGGAAAACGCAGAGGGCACAAAGTTGGGGGGATGCCAAGCCATTGTAGGGCACGTATA